CAATTTTTAAAAATCCATCCTGGAAGCGAGAATTAAATGTAGGTATTGTATACAGTACCTGTGCTTGTTATGTATGCACTGTGCATGTTAAATATAGACACACCGTACATCTACAGGCATGCAAAACATTACATACAGATGTTATATGTAGTGTGTATATACACACACACACACGTATGTCCTGAAAAGTCAGTAAAATCTTTTAACATACTTGTTTTTTGTGGGGTTGTTTTTTTTTTTTTTTTTCATTTAAATAACATAACATTTCCAGTGACAGCACTTTTAAAAGCTCATTTATTCGTTCAGCAGATGCTTACTGATGCCTCTGTGTTCCAGGCCAGAGGTTGACACTTTCCATAAAGGCCGCAACCCAGGGACTATTTCTGGCTCTGGTGGCAGTGCTGCCTCTGCAGCCGTCACAGTGCAAGGTGGCCACAGACGGGACATGGACACACGCCTGTGGCTGTGTGCCAGTAAAACTTGGTTCGTCATGGACACTGACATTGGAGTTTCAAGTAACTTGACTGTGTCACAAAGCAGCGTTCTTACAATTTTTTCCCCAATCATTTAAAAATACAAAATCTTTTAAACTTGCAGCCGTTCAGAACCTCGGGGCACACTTACCTGTCCTCAGCGGTCTGCTAGACACGCGGGTAGAGGTGACCGCAGCAGAGCCCCGGTGACCGGCAGCGAGGGCCGCAGGGCCGATGCCCGAGAGGGCGGGCCCTTGGTGGTGAGACGGCTGTCTGTCCCTCGCCACCCAGCGCCAGTCCCGGTGCTGGACCTCGGCCGACTTGGCTTTAAAAGTGACTACACACCTGCTGGCTGGGACCGCCCTCGTCGTGAGGCTGTCTTCTGGGTCAGGTCGTCTCCTGGCCTCCGTTTTCCTGCCCCGCCGACACCTCGCAACATAACCTGTTCCAGGCCCCAGGCCTCGGTGCTGAGCCAGGTCCCCGGGTCCCTTTGCACAACCGCTCGGGTCCGAGAACAGCTGCTTGCCTTCGCCTCCCCCGCGGGTCACAGCGGTCCCCGGTGCTGTCACCACCGTCACTCCGTGGCCTGGTTCGAGCCACCAGAATGCTCTGCGGAAGAGATGGCCGGCCCGCGGGTCCGCACAGGCCCTCGCGCCGGGGCTGCCGGCGGGGCCCCTTCCAGGCAGCTCTGACGACCAGGCTCACGCCTTCTGTTTGCAGTAGCTACGGCAACCTCAGAAGCTCTCTCTCTAAAGCCGAGCGAGCACACAAGAAAGCACTTCACGTGCTGATGGGATTAGAGCCTTTGGAAGATGTTTGATTTTCTCCCCCGCTCTTTCTTTCTGTCCCTTTGGAGAGGGGACGGGGCAGTGTGAACATTAACTGGGGCTCGCTTTCATCTCCCTCGCGACGCCGGAGCCCTCCCGGGTCTGCAGGGCAGCCCGGGCGCAGCTGCCCAGCGGCTTCCCGTGAGCCGGGCTTGTGCCTCCGCCGGGCCCCCGGGGCCGGACCTCGTGGTCCCCTCCTCGTTCCCCCGAGGACAGCTCTGAGAGCCTGGTTTTTAAATTGCGATGAACTCGGAGGCCCTAGACGGTAGTTCCAAAGAGCTCTCGCTGCAAAGCGGGATAAGTCAGGGGACCTTCGTGTGGCGTTATTTCAGACAGACGACAGCAACCCAAAACGAGGGTGCTCGCGGAGCGGGCGAGGCACGCGGGCCTCGGGCCGTGGGGCCCTCCCCGAGCGGAAGTGAGGTGAATCTCACCTGTGGAAGGACGCGGAACACGTGTCGGTGAAGAGTGCTGAGGCTCTTGCTGTCGTCCGCGGGTTATCTCTGGTTTTCCAGGGCCCTCCCGCCCCCTCGCCCGGGCGGCACTCCCTCGGAGAGCCAGGTTCGGAAAGGGGCAGGACCGCCGCCGCCTCTGCTGGGGCCTCTGGTGCTCCCTCTGCTCGGTCGCCGTTTGGGGCGCTGCTGAGAATCGCTCCTCGTGACATCTCGGACCTGCGTTTTGTCCCTGCAGGCATGCCGGCCCCCTGAGCCCACCACTGCCCCGGTGAGCTAGCTGCCTCGCCACCTGCGGCTCCGGCGTCGGGCTCCTCCCCCCTGTAGGTCAGGCGGGGAGCGTGTCAGGGTGTCCACAGAAATTAGCTACCAAAGCCTGCAAGGGGGGCAGCTGTTAAAGTAATACAACTAACAGTGTTTCACAAAGCGCCCTCACTGCCTCCCTGGAGGAGCGTGGTTGAACTCCACACTGTCAGCCGTCTGCATGGGACTCCCCTGGGGCTTGTCATGGGCCTTGTACTCACACGGCCCGGCTTCTTCCTCGCCTGGGTCGCGTTTGTACTGGTTCACTTTCATCTAATCGCTCAGCCCGTCACAGCCCCAGTCGGGAAACCACGCCGGGAACCATCAGGAGGGGCCACCACGGCCCCGCCCCATGGCGAGTGGGAGGCAGAGTTCCCCGGTCCAACGTCCCGCGGACACTTGCCAGCACCGTGCTTGGGCAGGGGACAGAGAGGCGGATAGGTCCTCAGACTTGCGTGTGAGGAGTTTGCAGGGGGTCAGGGCAGGCAGAAGGGGACAGATGACCCGGTCTGTGTCAGGAATGAGACCAGGCGCTGGGGCCGGGAGTGGGGGGCAGCAGTTAGATGTGGCTGCCGCCCTGACGCAGGTGGGCACAGTGCAGTGGCACCCCCCCTCTGGTCTGGACTGCGCGCAGGGCTGGGACATGGCTGGAGCCTGAGCCGTGCCGGGCACCCCGCAGGAGCGGAGCGCTGGGGCCACCGGCAGGGCTCCTGTGTGCTCTGTGACGGGCTCTGAGAGTCTGAAGAGCTGGGTGGTGGCTCTGTCCCGTCGGCCAGGGCTGGCCTTGACCCCGATTTCAGAGCCGACCAGCCCTGCACTCACCCACGGCTCTCAGCGCCGTGGTGGGAACCAGGGCTTTCCCACCTGTGATGGTAATCTCGGTGACTAGCCAGGGAGCTTTGGGGAGCAGCGCCCCGCTCCTGGCACCCGGCAGCAGACAGTGCCACACGTGACCGGCAGCTGTCTGGCCCCGTGTGCTCTTTCTTGCCTGAATTCCCCCTTTTCAGACGTGTGCCCCTTCAGGCGGGTCTCACGAATGTGTCTAGTGACGGTTTCACTCTGGACGAGAAGCCAGGCGCAGCACATGACTCGGGGTGCAGAAACTCACTGGTGGCCCGGAAGGTCCCGTCACCTGGGGGTGTCGGTTTTACTCCCCGCGCCGGCACAGCGTGCGAGTTGGGCGATTGTGGAAGAGGGCGAGATTCAAATTTAGGTTTTGCACGCGTGTGAATAATTCTATCTTCTGTCTCAGGAAAAGAAATGTAACTTACAAAGGACCTGGCTTTTATCACAGAAGGATGACAGTCAAGGGCAGAATGAGAACGTTTCCCCCACCGAAGTGGATAGGACTAACTACAGAATCAGCACCGGCGGCACCCCCAGTGCCTGTCCTGTCCTGTGTCGTCGGGGAGAGTTGGTCATTCATACCCACGGTGGTCCCGATGCTGGTCCCCCAGAGACCGGCGAGTCTTCGATGCAGCGGAGTTCTGCTGCTGGTCCCATTTGTGTGGCCCAAGCTCCCCCCCCCCGCCCCCCAGGAGCTGGGAATGCCCGCAGCTGGTGCCGGTGCAGCGTCAACTCTGACTGGGGAAGGGGGTGCGGAGGGGGCAGGGTGGGGCGGGAAGGCCCGTCGGGACGGGCGCCAGCGTGGGCATGCCCGAGGGGTGGGGACCGCGACCCCACAGGCCCCAGGGAGCTGCTCGTGCGCTCTGCGCTTCATTTGTCTGACTTCCGGACGGGCTCGTCTGTTTCCGGTCCCTGGGAGGTTCTGGAACTTGGGGCCCGTCCGACTCTCTCTCTTCCCCAGGCCCTTCTGTCCGGGGCCACGGGCCATGGGCGCACGGAAGCCTTTCTCTGCTTCCCGCGTCCGACAGGCTGGGGCCGCTGGGAGCCAGCACGGGGTCCGAGGCATCAGCTGTCCAGCTCCAGGGCCTGATACCTTGTGGGGACACAAGTGTCCCGGTTCCGGCATCGGGACAGGACTGTCCTTCCTGCCGCCTCCATCCAATCCAGGGCAGGGAGGCCCCTCTTCCCGGGAGACGTGTTCATTCCTCCCGAGGCGCTTTGCCGTCCCCTGGGGACCGACGGGGCCGGGCCCGCTGCAGTCGGCATGTCCTCTGTGCCCCTGCATCTGACCCCGGGGGTGTCCCCACAGCAGCTCTGTCCCGTTCTCCACAGACACCGCAGAGCGCAGGTTGCCTCGCTCTGGGTAACCGCATCAAAGACCTCCGTCGGCCGTGCAGCGGCAGTTCTGTCTGCTCCTGAGCGCCCCCCGCCTGCAGTGCAGGGCGCCACGCGGAGCAGTTAGAATCGGGGCCGGGCCACCGGGAGCCGAGAGCACAGGGTTCAGACCAAGCGGCAGACCCTTGAAAGGCCTCTCAGCTTCATCTTTGGAAAAGGAGTGAGGGAAATTCCACGGTGCTTCCTAGGAAACAATGCTTGTTTATCGTATAAATGGGCTTCCTTTAAACGAGGCCATTTTCTCATCTGGTTCTAACCTGGCATCTCTGTGACTAATTCTGTGACATTCGTATTCTTTCCCTAGGGACTCAGTAACAACGATCCAAGCGTGTGTGTGTGTGTGTGTGTGTGTGTGTGCGTGCGCGCGCGGGTGCGAGTGGGCGCGTTTGTGCACTTGCTGGTGTGCTTAGACTGCGGGCGTGGCTGCTCTGATCCTTTGCTTCCTCGTCCAGCCGTCTGCACGTCCGGACACAGCACCCGTGTGCTGCTGCTGCTGGCCCGCACAGACACTGCACACACGTGTGCACACAACACACGTGTAGCATACCGTGTGAAAGTGCATCGCCCGCTCTGGGTGCGTGGTGCGCGCACAGCCTCGGGGGAGGCTGCGCTGGGTCTGGGTTTCAGAGCGGCCGCCTGCCCTCCGCCCCGCGCAGCCGTGCGCACGGGACTGTCCGAGGCCTGTTCCTTCACTCCGGTTCCAGTTCTGACCCAGTGGGCGGTGTATGCCATCCGGAACCTTACGGAGGACAACAGCCAGAACCAGGATCTGATCGCCAAGATGGAGGAGCAGGGGCTGGCCGACACGTCCCTCCTGAAGAAGATGGGCTTTGAGGTGGAGAGGAGGGGCGGCAAGCTGGTCCTGAGAGCCACCGGCGACGGCCCTCCATCGGTGAGTGCGGCGGAGCGAGCGGCCCCCACCTCCCGGGACCCCAGGTGAGGCCGGGCTCCTTCCGGGGCGGGGGTGGAGCCTCCCAGCCCCCCAGAGGCGGCCCTACTCAGTGCCCCATGGTTTCTCCCAGGCTTTGTGCTGCCGTCTTCTTACAAGAGTTAAAGTTTCAAACTGGGCCTTGGGGAGAAATATAAAAAGCATACCAAACATTTTTGTGTGGCCTTAGAAGTTCTGACAGGAATGAGATTTTCTTGAAAAAATGGCCGATGTGGGCTTTCGTAAAACGGAAGACGAAGCTCCTGGCTCTGTGTCGGTTGTCCAGTTTCTCGGGCCCTTCTGGTCCCTGGGCGCAGCTCTCCCTGTTTTCTCCTTTGGTGATTCTTGGAAACAGACGCTATATGTGTGATTTTGTGTCTTCTTTTTTCTTAGTGAGTGAACTCTGCATCCACCCAGCTGAAGTTTCGGCGTCTTTTCCCTGGATTTCCCATCTTCGGCCTTACGTGAAATTCAAGTGTTTGAAGATCAAGTACAAATTCAGGGGCTCGTGATGCTTTTAGATACTAGCGTTAAATGTGTTTAAGCTTAGAAGTGAAAGTGTGTGAGTGTTCTCTTGTTTCCCTGCTTTGAAAACGTAGCCGTCTGGTGAGCCGCGGCCCCGCGGATACAACGTGTGTAAGCCCTGGGCTGCGCTCGCTGCGGCAGCCAACGAGGGCTGTCTGGCGGGGGCCGCCCTGACCTGGCGGAGGCGCGGGCGTTTGCCGGGGTCCCGTTGCTTCCTCCGGACTCCAGTCTGCCTCGCCCCTTTTGTTCTCCTCTTCCCGCTGCATTTCCCCAGCTCTGCGGGCGGCTGAGGGGGCCCTCGCTGCGATTGACCCTCAGCATCTCTTCTCACCCTCCGCCCGTCCGACACATGACGAGACTCTTTTCCAGCTAATTAATTCGAGAGGCGCTGCAGAATGGCGCTCGCTCCCTCTTCAGTTCGGTGCCGGGCTGTGTTGTCACCGAGCCCCGTCCCCTTGGGGTTTTGCAGGGAGTCAGAGCACATTGGGGCCATTAACTCTTTTCATTCCACATCCTCCCAGAACCAGACTTCTTAAAACCCAGCCCGTTTAAAAGCGCCTGCCTGTGTTGCTCCCCCAAGAGCCCCCGTGAGGGGCAGGAGGCTTTGCGGTCGGCGCTGAGCGCGGGGCCCCTGGGTTGACGGCACACCGGTGGCTCCTCCTGTTTAAAAAGCGCCTGTCCCGTAGAGGCCGCCGCCCCGTCACTGGGATTGCAGAAGTAGTTTGGGGAGCGGGAATTCTTGTGAGCTAGACTGTCCGTGTGTCTTAGTCTGTCTGTGCATACACTCGCATCCTAAGTGGGACGGGAGCGGGGGAGCCAGGCCAGGAACGCCACCCAGACCTCTTCGGGGTCCGTGCCCCGAACGCCCAGCACAGCGAACTCCTGCACCAGCCAGGTTGCGGGCTGACGTCCCCGGAGGTTCCGCACGGTGCGCACTGGCCCTTCGGCATAAAGACGGCAAAGGGCCAGTCGGGCGTGTTCCAAAGATACTTACTGGGCGTCCGGAGTAAGTGCTGTAAGTCCTTCGTGGCCGTCCTGAAACCACCCTGTACAGATGGCCCCAGCATGTTGAGACTGAAATAAAGGTGTCCCTCCCACTGCACTGTCTCGCGTGCTCTGTGTCATGCGAAGAGGCGTGGTCCTCCGAGAGCAGCGCTCTCGTTTCGCACGCTGCACCAGTGAGGAAGCCGTTGCAGACTTTGAAATGCACAATGAAGTCCCTTCTGGGACACAAAGAGTTAAAGCCCTAGCCCCTCAATAGAGGCCCGGCCCAAGGGGGACGCAGTGGGGGTCCCTTTTCCCTTTTCACCAGCCGGCAACAGACTCTCCTTTCTCCGCTCAGTGGCTGTGTGCACACCAGTGGAACCGCACAATAACACACACACAAATAAAAGGGGGCCGTGGGAAGGGAGAATGGGCAGGAGCGGCTGTGTGTGCTAAACAGGCCTGCGGGCCGGCCCCGGGACACACGCTGGGGGCCGCATTGTGGCTGCCCTGGGTGCCCGGGGGGATTAATTCAGTTCTCAGCACGGCGGCTGCCCTGGCCCCCGCCCCCGCCCCCACCGCACCGGCCAGCGGACTCGGAGCTTCCAAGAGCCTTGTTTTACGTGCGCAGAGGATTAAGTCGCTGCCCCGGCCAGCCAGCCGGTCGTCCGGGAGGAGGAGGAGGGAGAGGCAGGCCAGCCTGGCAGAGGTGCGCAGAGACCGGGCGGCCGCAGCGGGCGGCCCAGGGCCCGGCCTGCTTCACTCTGAGGGCCGCGGGGGAGGCTCTGCCTGACGCCTGACGCTGAGGCCGCGTGTCTGCGGGCGACTTGCAGGTCCCCTAACCGTGGGTGCTGGCACTTCAGAAATGTTTGTCCCCACAGTTTTAGACTGTGCCGTTGCATTTACCATGTGTATGTGCACACGAGTACGTGTTCATACACCCCATGGGTTTGGTGTTCTTCAGGGACACGGTGCGGGGGTGCACGTCTTTGTTCAGGAGCTCCTGAGTCGAACCGCAGGGCTGTGCCCTCCGCTCGGAGAGCCCCGGCCCGCAGAGCGGGGTTGGGGGGAGATGACTGAGGCGTCTGGGCGCCCGGTCAGCGGGCTTGACGTCGGAGTTTAACCGCATGTCTGCGTGTCGGTGCCCACCGTCGTGAAGGCATTGACCTGCTGCTCTTATAAAATAATGCCTGTGATTGAATTGATTTTTTTAATTATGTTTTAATTTCTATCCTCAAATGAAAGATGCTGGAACAGAAATGCCCATTTTTGCGGGAAGTCTTTTTAAAAATACATGTTCCGTCACCGCTCAGCTCTGCACACCAGCATGAAGGAATCCATGTTTACACGGGAGCCAGTAAAGCTAAGACTCCTAAAGCGCAGAGAGGTCCGGCAAGAACTGGAACAATTAAGGTCTGACACAAATCCGGTCCTTTGGAGAACGGCCCCCGCATTGCTGTCCAAGGTTCTGATAATCCCGGCCGCCGCGGCCAGTGTGTGGAAAAGCAGTTGAAAACCTTGTTCTGAAAATTCAGATTATTTTCCCCCTTGCACAGGCATGATGTAATACCTGTTTTCATTTTTCTTGCACGGTTTTATGTGTTCATTTGGATTTCTTTAGGGCAAACCTTGTTTAGGCGATATTTGACAATATGAATTTGATCTACATCTACAATATATGAATTTCGAAGGTAAGCTTCCTGTGAAGTTAGTGAGGGTAGTGTTAACTCACTCGTCAGACTTTCTCCACGACAACCAGTTGCGTCCATGGAAGTGACGTTTGAGGGCTTTGGTAATTGTTTATTCTTGTTCAAGTTAAAACCTTCCACCGGAACCACTGGGGCGACTGTCCCTTCCCTTTAAACAGCGTCACGCACGTTCTTGCTTCCACCCGGAGTCGTGTCGTGCGCATCCTACCCCAGTCACACAGGAGCTCACGTCCACTCGGTGGTGGGGACACGCTTTTCCTGGGCGCCGCATGGACCGCAGCGGTTGAGAGCGGAACCTGAAGCCCAGGTCCCCGCGGCCATCTCTTCCCCTGCAGGGGGGCCCGAGGGTGCAAGGACATGGACATAGAAATGCCCGGGTCAGCACCCGACACGTAAGCGCTCACTGGTGCTGGTCGCTCCCGCCGTTGCCGGGGCGAGCGTCCCCACGTGGTTCGGACCCCCACTGTGGGCTTCCCTGGGGGACGCGGGTGGAGCTGCGGCCGGTCCCCCGCTCTGCCCCGCGGTGCTGGCCACACCGCAGGTGCTGCCCGGACAGACCTCCGTCCTGCCGCAGAGCCTGTGTCACGTGTTTCGTGTCCCGGGCAGCGTTCCGAGCACTTGACGAGGACTAACCGCTGACCCCTCGTGGGAACCACGCATGTATTCTAGCATTTAGTCCCAGGACTCGGATGAGGGGGCCGAGTTGCAGAGGTCAGGGCCGAGGGCCGCACACAGTGACCATTCCGTGATCAGTGGCTGTGATCGGAAGGCAGCGGGTGAGGGGAGCGTGGCTCCTGGGCCCAGGAGCACTGGAAGCACCTGGAGACTGTCTCGGGGCGTCGAGCAAGGGGGGTGCCCTGGGAAGAGCGTGGGCTCTGCCGTTAGCCAAGGCCAGCTCAGATCTCGACCTCACCTCCCGCCAGCTGGGTGGCCTGGAGCGAGCGTGGAGCTTAACCACTCCGAGCCTGTTGCCCTCCCAAGCAGGGCGCCCGGGAGACACTGCGGATGTGGCTGGAAGCAAGACAGACCCCGTCCGTGGTCTACAGAAGCGTACGTGCTTCTGGAGAGGCCAGGAATCACCGAGCACATGGACAGGTGAACCAGAGTGTACCTGACATTGTAGCACGTGCCATGAGGAGAGAAGCGAACAAGGTGATGCTGTGGGCGGCCACTAGGGTGGCCTTTCAGAGGTGGTCCCATCTGACCTGGAGCCACAGGGTTGGAAAGGGGCCAGCTGTGCAGAGAACCTGGCAAGAGCGTTTCCGGCACGGGGGCCTGGAGCCCGGGGGCTCAGAGACGACGGGCCTCACGGGGTCAGGGGCCGGGAGGGTGGCCGCGGGGCCAGAGCCCAGTGACGGGGGGCTGCTCATGGGGAAGACCAGATCAGAGGGTGGCCGGGAGTGAGTCGTGCAGGGTCTCCGGGGCCGTGGTGGGGTTGGGCGTTCCCGAGCCCGTTGGGGAGGCGCCGGGTCGTGCTAAGCCGAGGGGTGAGAAGACCTGCTTCCCCTTTGCACCCAGCGCCCTTGCTGTGTGTGCAGAATGAACTGGGGGGGGGGCGGGGAAGGGAACAGAAGTGGAGAACAGCATTTGGGGCTGTCGATGGGGCTCAGACCAGCATGGGGGCGCCGGCTATGGAGAGAGCCTCGAACCCGACACGTGCGTGGGAGGTGGCGTTCCTAGAACTTGCCGATGGGCTCGTCGCTGAGGGCGGAGGTGAAGGGAGTGGGCCGGCGGAGCTCCTGAGGGTTCGCTGGACGGCTGGGCAGACGGCCTGCACGCCCTGAGGCAGCCCGGCCTGCCGGGGAGGACCGAGTCCGCAGTGAGTTTTGTTTGGAGCAGAGAGGACCAGGGGTTCTGTTGTGGGCAAAGGGGGTTCGAGACGCTTTCGAGACAACCCAGTGGACGTAACTTGAGAAGTAGTTGGAAGGCAGGTCCCCGGCAGGGGTCGGTACTGGAAACCCGCGTTCCGTGTCACCGGCCTTGCACGCAGGTGACGTTCGGAGCCGTGGAGGTTAGCGAGATTGACTGGGGAGGCGGCGTGGGCAGAGGAGGGCCTGCGTCAGCTCACAGCCCGCACTTCCCTCCGCAGACAACACCGTACCTGACGGGGTAGTGTGAGGGGTTCCCGCCTGGGAGGAACCCCTGGTGAAGAGCACTTTCATGGCTGCACCGTCCAGATGCGCGGGTGCACAGCTTGTCGCGTGGCACTGAGCTCGATGCCTTCTCCGCAGTCTAGGCTGCGTGCAGGGGGGTGGGTCCGAGAGGATTGGGGGCTGAAGGCCTTCTCCAGGGATTGTTAGAGAAGAGCGGGCGCCTCTGCATCCAGGGACGGTTGGCCAGGTGATTCTGACCGCCCCCACCCCGAAGACGCTGAAGACCGGCAAGCTGGGACAAGGCAGAGCTCCCGTCCGAAGGCGTCAGGGAGTTGGCTGGGTGTGGCGGAGAATCACGGGGCCGGGTCTGGGAGCAGACGGAGGCCGGAGGTGTTGCCCACTTCGGAGGGAGGTGCAGAGAAGCCAGGCCACCCAGTGCTGCTCCTCACAGACTCGGGGGGCCGGGGGCAGGGGGGCAGGGGTGATGGCACCTCCTGCCCAGAAAACCTCTGCCGCCTCGGGTTGGGACCTCGAAGGGCCGCGTCGGAAGAGCAGCAGCGAACCAGAAACAGGCCCTCCTTGGTGGCGCCGGGGCGTGTGCCGTGCTGCCGGGCACCCTGGGGCCCTGCTGTCCCGGGCACCTGGGGACATGAGTCCTCTCTGGGGAAAGGTGGCATTATCCTCAGTCTCAGATGACGTGTCCGGCTTTTCACATATGGTCTCTGGTGCTCAGTCAAAAACCGTAGGAGGCGGCGAGGTGACCCGACATTCGAAAGGAAACCACAGCCAGTGGAGATAAACACAGAGCAAGGAAAGGCAAGGCGGCGCACCTGCTCACTCAGACCCCCACTCAGACTCGCGCCTCTTCCAGACACACCCAGAGTCACGTTCGACCCGGTGTCTGGGCGCCCGGGGGGCACCATCAAGTGGACACACCGAAGGAACCGTCCCCCCTTCAAGGATTTAGGAGGCGGTGGACGCGCAGGGGCCATGCCGCAGTGGACGGAAGGAGGAGGGCGGAGAGAGGCGTCCCTGCAGCTGGGCTGTCCGCGGAGGGACCCTTAGCCAGCACATCGCCCACCGGGGCCCCACGTCAGTTGCCTGTTGTCTGCACCCCGGGCGGCACGGAGCAGGGACTGTGTCTGCCGTCCCTTGTGCATATCCCGTCCCGTCGGGGCCTGCATCCTGTCCCCCTCCCAGATCCGTTTGTTGAAGGCCTGGCCCCCAGCACCTTGGAACGTAACCAGTAGGAGGTGGGGGCCTTTAACCGGGTGACTAAATTAAAAGGAGGCTCTAGGGGTGGGCCTGCATCCCAC